GAAGGTGGGGAGGGACCCAAACCAGCTCTGCGGGGCGGCGGAGATGGAAGGAGGGACGGGTACTGGAGTGGCCAGGCTGAGCTGGTCCCTCTCATCCCCACAGTGTCCCAGCAAGACCACCAACCAGCCCCGGCGGCAGTATGGCACCACCAAGGACTTTCCCGACGAGGTGCTGCACTTTGCCCGTGCTCACCCCCTCATGTACAAGGTCGTGTACCCCCGGCACCGCCGGCCCCTCCTAGTGAAGACTGACCTGCCCCACCGCCTGCGCCAGCTCGTGGTGGACCGGGTGGAGGCCGAGGATGGGCAGCATGATGTCCTCTTCCTTGGGACGGGTGAGTAGTGGGAGTGGCATGCAGGAAGGAGCCCCAGCGCTGGGGCTACTGGTGGGCACGCTGCTGGGGTGTGTGATGGCAGGGTGCTCACACCTCCATCCTTCTTCTCCTCTCTGCAGATGCTGGCTCAGTGCTGAAGGTGGTGGTCCTGCAGAAGACAAGCTTGGCCATGACCGAGGAAGTCATCCTGGAGGAGCTGCAGGTTTTTAAGGTGCTATTTGCTGCCTTGCTTGCAAGGGAAGGGGGCAGTAAGGTGGGCTCACGTTGGAGACACACATGGGGACAGAGGCTTAGGGCTGTCACCACACTGTTGGGCACTGGGAGGTCTTCAGGCTGTGAGGGCAGAGGGTAAATGGGGATGATTTCACCCTCCCCCAAAACATTCCTGGTGCCCCACCAAAGCCCTGATGGCTCTGAATGAGCTGGGTTCTCTGTGACGAGGTTTTTGCCAGCCTCATGTCCACTCTCCTCCCCTGCAGGCACCTGTGCCCATCACCCAGATGGAGATCTCCGTCAAGCGTGTGAGTACGGCCACGGCTTGGCCATGGGGCTGGGGACAGGGCAGGTCACCAGGAGGGACTGAGCTGTTGTCACCAGCCTCTCAGAACCCGCATGGGTTCTGGGCATTGTGCTCATGGGGGCTGCCAGTCTCACCATCTCAGTGCTGTTCTCCCAGCAAACGCTCTACGTGGGCTCCAGCCTGGGGGTGGCCCAGGTCCGGCTGCACCAGTGTGAGACCTACGGCACGGCTTGTGCTGAGTGCTGCCTGGCCAGGGATCCCTACTGCGCCTGGGATGGCACCGCCTGCACCCGCTACCAGCCCTCGGGCAAGCGCCGCTACCGCCGTCAGGATGTCCGTCACAGCAACCCTGTGCACCAGTGTCTGGACCAGAATCTGACTGGTGAGAGGCTGGGGGGACCCACAGGACTGAGGGGCTCATCCAGGTGCCCCAAGATGTGCCAGCATCCACAGCCCTTGGCACGCAGAGGGGCTTGTGGCCAGCCCTGGTGAGCTGGGACACTCTTGTCTCCCAATCCTGTAGACTGAGGGGTGCCCCAAGAGAAGGTGGGTGCTGCTGGGGCTGGTGCCTGTCCCCAGGGAGAGGGGCAGAAGGGGACTGAAGCCACACCAAGGGGTCTGACACCTGTACCCATGGAAGCCTGGCTCTGCCCTCCCCATGAGCCCATGTCTGTCTTTGCCCCAGTGGACGATTTTGAGAGTGTTGAGGAGAAGGTCCTTTATGGGGCAGAGGACAACAGCACCTTCCTGGAGTGCGTGCCCCGGTCCCCGCAGGCCAGTGTGCAGTGGTTCGTCCAGAGGCCCCCTGATGAGCAGCGGGATGAGGTGAGAGCCCCTCACCCCGCGCCCACCTTGCTCCCCTTGCGAGGACACGGGAGGGATGTGGGGCTGAACCCGGACCTCCCCCCAACGTCCCGGTGGCCAACAGGTGAAGACGGACGAGCGGATCCTGCAGACGGAGCATGGGCTGCTCTTCCGCAAGCTGCACCGCCATGATGCTGGTGTCTACTACTGCAAAACACTGGAGCACGGCTTCACCCAGACGGTGGCCAAAACGGCCTTGGAGGTGATCGCCAGCGAGCAGCTGGCACACACCTTCTCCCAGGAACGGGGGGATGAGGCCCTGCGCCTGCCTTGCCCCAGGCCCTGGCTGGCACCACAGGCTCCCAAAACCTGGTTCAAGGACATCATGCACCTCATCAGCTCCCAAAACGTGCGGCGGGTGGAGGAGTACTGCGCCCGCCTCTGGTGTGGCAGCAGCCGCCCCCACCACCACAAGAGCAAGTTGGCCCAGGCCAAGCATGCCCTGGCTGGCGTGGACGTGGGCAAGAAGGGACGGACAACCAAAGCCCACAGCGAGAAGAACCGCGTGCCCCGGCAAGCAGTGGCCACTTAGAGGCCAGGGTAATGGCCATGGGGTGGCTGTGGGTGAGGACCAGCTCCCCGTGCTGCTGGCAGCCCCGGGGGCCTCCTGCCCTGGCAGGTGGCTTGCAGTGGCACCAGCTCGGTCCCCCCGGCTGCGGTGGATGGGATGTCAGGGCCAGCTCCTGGGCAGGTCCCTGTCACCCTCGGTGGCTGCGGGGCCACCTCCAAAATGGGTGGTGTGGTGGTATGCATTGGCCCCCCTCTTGCACCTGTAGCAGGTGCAGGTCCACAGTCACTGGGGTGGGTTGGGGCTCGGCAGGCGCAGTGCCATCACTGTGCCACTGCCGTGTCACCGCTGCAGGGAGCTTGCTGGCTGGCTTTCTCTGCAAATAAAGGGGCGGCTGACAGCTCCAGGCTCTTTCCATGCCAACATGAGGCCTGGAAAAGATGATGCCTGCCCTCACTCCAAAAAGCCTCCATGTCCAGGATGAGCCCTGTTGTCCACTGTGCCTGGGGAGCTGGAGCTGTGCCGTGCTGCCCAGGGTGCATCTCGGGTCACAGTGCTCCTTCCAACCTTTCCTGTGGCACCAGAACATGCTCAGCAGTGCCAGTTTGTGCCTGGGTGCAGCTCCCCCCCTCCTCTCTGTCCCCCCCCCACCCTGCCACGGACATTTTAGGGCTGGGTAGGGCTGGTGAGGAAAGCAAACGGCTGGGGGCAGGTTAGACTTGTTCCTGGGTAAACACAGGAGAGGCACTGATGCCACCACAGTCACTGTGCCCAGGTGGCAGTGGGGACATGCAGAAGGCGGCGGCCCCAGTACAGGTTGGAGGGCCTGCACCCTGGGCCGGGTGTGTTTCTGGTGGTTGGTGGCCCTTCAGGGCTGAGTGGGACAAGGCTGGTTTGGGGACAGCTTGATGCTGGCTGGTGGAGCTAAACCAGCAGCCAGGACCTCCCCCAAACACAGGGGGTTGGGGGCAGGTGCATGGAGAGCACCCACAGGCTGCTGGCACCGTCTCAGGCTGCCAGCAAAGTGCTCGCTCATTTTTCTTGCCCGACATGAGCTCACTTGCCTCACACGGTCAGCCTGGGGTGATAAAGATCTCCCCCTTCCTGAGGCCGGGCAGTCCCACACAATGGTGTGAACCGCGGCCCTGCCGGGACAGGCATTGTTTGGAGGCAGAGGAACGGGAAAGTAAAATAATAATAATAATAATTAAACCCCCTAAATAGCTCACACAAAGCCAGGTGATGATATCATCGCTCCTCCCTCTGTGTGCGTGTTTGTGCTGCAGCAGCAGAGCACCACGGCTCGCTGCGGTGTCTTTGATGGGAACAAAGTCCCCCAGCAGCGCTGCCCTGTCCCACAGTGCGTCCCTGGAGATGAACTGCGGGTCCCGACCCTCTTCTCCACCTCTCCTGCAAACCCACGGCGCCTGCATAGGGTGGGAGAGCTGTGGTAGTGCTGGCGAGCCTGGACAGGTCCTGCAGGGAGGGGAGCGGAGCTGGTAGCACTGATTGACAGGCCAGACTGGAGCCAAGCATGTGGATTTTGTTAATCCCAGGCCTGGGGGGCACAGAATGATAAGCAACAAGTAGAGACAAGGAGGGACATGGGTGTAAAGCCAGAAATAAGAGACAGAAGTCTGATTCCTCAGGGCCTGGATTTAATGCTCTGAAGCTGCTGAAACCCCTTTGTCTTGCTGCCTCCGAGTGACTCCCTGAGCTCTGCAGAAGAGGGGCTGGGCTGCCCATCCCGGGAGATGCAGTGAGAGGGGGTTCTGGGCCTCTGCTGTGTGCAGGACCTGGCCTCAGGTGAGCTGTGGCAGAGGCTGGATGTGACACCGGAGTCAGTGCAAACTGATCAGGAACAAAGACCAGAAGAAACCAGTTTCTGAAAGGGCCTCCCCCTCCTGGTAAAACTCCATAAATCTCTGTAGCCCTGGTTAGGTTTACATCCCTGAGGCTGGAGTAGGAGGGCTTTTGTCCGGGGTGGAAGCTGTTTCTGCATGGCTCACGTTCCAGCCTTGTCCCTCGTGATAACCAGTCAGCAGAGGTAACCTGCATCCCTAGAAATTCCCATGGGCTGAATGAACACAACCTCACCCACCCTGGGAGGTGGAAGGATACAACTTCGGTGGGCAGATACAGCACTGTTGCCCCTCAGTCTCCTCTGTGTGAAGGGAATAAGCCCTACCCGAGTCTCGGCACTGCTGGCTGAGACCAGTCCCAGGGGCAGGAGCAGGGCGAGGGAAGCACTGGTGGACAGGGTGTGTGTGGGAACAGCCACAGAACAAAGCCATAGTGGGGGGACGGGTGCAGCCACGGATCCAGCTCCTATTTTTAGCCCATTTCCTAAGGAAGCGCAGTGTAGAAGCACCCACTCGCCTTGGGAGCCTTCCAGCCTCCTCAGCGGCATTAAGTGAAGCTGCTGGCAGGGTCAGGGCTGATACAGCCTCACCGGGAGCCCTCGCATCTCAACACGGGGTGACAGGCCCCGGCCCGAGTCCCTCATCACAGGCCGCACGGGGCGGCCCAGGCCCAAAGGCCCTGCTGCCCACCGCTTACCAAGGGACGAAACCCCAGGGCGGAGCAGGGCGAGGGCGCAGCCCCCAGAGCCCTCCCAGCCTTCCCCCACCACCGCGGGACCTCTGTCGCACCGCCACCCCCCATCTCCACCTGGGACGGATGTGGCGTGGCGCGGCGCGCGCTGACGTCACACAGCGTCGCGCAGTGATGACGCGCTGAGGCGGGCGACGGCGGCGGCGGTGGGGCCCGGAGTCGGGGCTGGACATGGCGGCGCGGCCCGGCCCGCGGGAAGATGAATAAGGGCTGGTTGGAGCTGGAGAGCGACCCTGGTGAGCGGTGGGGAGGG